ATCAAAACATGACTAGAAATTCAATTTGATGAAAAATACTCTTTACAAAAGTAAATTTCTTATCTATACCATAGAATATAGACAAACCTAAGAATCCCTATGATCCTAATATTTAAAAACAAAAAAAGAAAACGATTTTTCAATAGAGAGACTTTCATTATTAGATAATGTATTTGTTTTTCAGATAATCAATCTTTAAAAAACTAATTATCGATCCTGAAAAAAAAAAACTAACTATTCATATTTACTCTGAAAGATATTCTAACGATATAAAGATTTATCTATATAATAAATAATATTATTTTATTTATTATTAAATATTCTTTATAAAAATTCATTTTGAGAAAATCAATGAAAAATGTAAAACAATAAATTCTTGTAAACAATCTCGATTGAACTTGTTTTCATATATTTATATATCTACTAAACTATACAATGTTAACGTTTAACAAATCTTGTTCATCATAAACTTGACCTTTTATTCGAAATTTTCAATCTGACTTAAGTTTTTATTTTAATCATCTTAAATTATTTAATAAAAACAAAAATACAACTAACATGATAGAAACAATTGAAAAATTGTCTATAGAATATCTAAATGTACGAAGAAAAATAATTGAAAATAAAAATAAATCTAGACATCATTTTCTCAAGACGAATCATAAACTCATATTCAAACTTAAATCAATATTCGACAATCTCATTATTATTAATTATATCCATTTACAAATATTCAAGCTATTTACTCAATATACTTCATTCTCTCATAAGTCATTTGACAGTTTCGAAACTTAATTTTCAACGTTTTTTATTAACTAACGATCTTGAGTTTTATTGAATTGATTTTTATCATTATTTGACATATCTGATCAAGTCTATATATAACAAATATATATAGATGTCGATATATATTGAGAATATATTATTAGTTTTAATATAAATGATTTAAGTTAAAAAAAAAAGAAAAAAATTCAACTTACCAATTCTATCATCAACATAATCAATATTAATTGGTCTTCCTGTATGTAATTCAGGTAAATAAATATCATGAAGACCTTTCATTTCTAATGGATATGCTTCATTTAATTCAATATAAATATCTTTAGCTAAAGCTAAATAAGTTCCACTCATTCCACTTGAATTAGTTAAATAAATTCTTCCATCCGATGTAACATCACAAGCTTCAATAAGAGCAACATCAATTGATGGAAATATTCCTTCTCGAATATATCTGCTAACATGACTTAAATGCATATCAATAAAATCTAATTTTCCTTGATTTATTAATTTTCTTAGATCTGGATGGGATTGATAAGGAATTTTTAATTTCATTCTACCAGTACGTGCTAAAACTCCATCAAGTTCATCACCAGTTGATGCACCGGTATATAAATTAATTGAAAAATTTTCAGGATTTTTCGAATTTTTAATTCTTTGAGCAAAAGCACCGGGTATTACTTTTGGATAACCAGCTGGTGTAAAACCAGATGCTCCTAT